GGTCAAAGCACGGTTTGTGGTATCCAGTTTGAGCTTTTTCATAGCGATCTTGTAACCGTCTCTCCAGCAGTTTTCATTGATTTCCTCGCACAACTTTTTTTTTTGTATTTTGAGTATCTAGCCCTGCGCTCTCCGTTTCTCGCTTGTTGTTGTCGGTTTTTCCGAGTTAATTCTCTCTTGGTTTTGAGGCAGGTAGCCCTTAGCTTAGTTTGGCAATGTCCTGCGACCACCAGTAGACAGGTCTTCTGTTGGCGTTACCCGATTTGCGGGGCATGGATGCATCGCACTGTGCAGAAAGTGGACTAATTGCTCTGGAGTGCCGGGCACATTTGTTTCTGCTTTCCTGTTAACGAATTCATCCATCCTTTCCAGGTCTAGCTCTTCATGGTTCCAAGAACTTTCGTTTTGCTGAGGGTCTATTTGGACCTCAATGTAGATATAGTTCTGGTCGCTCATAGTCTCCTGGGTGTGGACTCTTCAGTTCACGATTCTGGAGCTGATCTGGCCTTTAGACATCGTAAGATCCAATATGGAGGAGGACTGTCCTCTCTGGAAGGTTGGCTCCTGACTCGTATTCTGGATGACTAGGTCCTTATAGGCCACGAAGTCGGAGAGTATGGCTCCTCTGCCATCTGTTTCGTGCACGCCCCAGTCCAGAGAGCTAGAGTTAAACTCGCCCGTGATGATAGAATTTTTGGACTTCAATAGATCTATGGAGGAGCCCAGGGTATTCAGGGATTTTGGATTTTTTTTTTTTGTATCCTGCACCTCAGTGGCGGCTCGCCTATATGGGCAAGGTGGGCACCGCCACCCTGGCGAAAAAATAAGAAAATCATAAAAATTATTTGATATAAATTAGTCAAAACCAAATAAGCACCACTGTTAAAAACACCTTTGCTTTTATTAAATTTTGATTAATCCTAGTAAAGTGTTTGTTCCCATTTACAATATAAATTTTTCGTGAACACTTCATTTGCTTACCTATATTATTGTACCTAAATGGAAATAGACACTTCAGCGGGGTCATTCAAAATTTGAAAAAAAAATAAAGGTGTTTGAAAAAGTGGTCCTTATTTCGTTTTGAGTAGTTTAAAAACAATTTATCGTTATTATATTATAGCAAATTTTGGCATTGGCACTGAGAAATTATAATTATTAAGATAACAATAATAAACGTTTTATTCGATTGGACTAATAGGTACCACCATTCATGCCTTTTTAAAGCATATTATACCTACGTTAATTCCGCGAGTTGGGCGAGCGGATGGGCACTGATGTTCCTCGCCACCTCGACCGTCGTACAATACGACCTGATGCGATTTTTCTGGCGCCTCCGTCATATTCAAATAAGATCCATACACAGAAATTAGGTCCGGCTGGCGGGGATTCGAGATCGCCACCTCCTTCCATCCTTGTCGCTCGTCGCAAAGCAGCGTAGCGCTGTCGTGCGGCATTTTTCACATTTGTAAGTAGAGGTGTTAATCTCCAATAAATGGCAGTTATACCTATTCTTTAAAAAGTAATTTTTGATTTGAATTATTGAACAACTTTTTCAAAGATTGGCAACAAATTTTAAATTAATCAGTAGGTTGGGTGGTTGGGGATGGAAGGGTATAATATTCATTGACAACTAGAAAATATTAAAGCGAAAATAAAAAGGTTAATTTTTTATTAAACTACCTATACCTAGTATATGGAATGGAATAGGCCTGCAGGATTTCCACAACTACACCGCTGATAACTTGCTCACAGCATTGCTCCAGGCTCCGCCAGTTTACGTTTGAAGTTTTGGAGTTTGAACTTGTTTTGTTTGACCGTATAGCGTAAAGTTAACCGATAATCTTTAACTTCTACTTTTGCTTTTTTTAGTAGTGCAGTGTGCAGGTAGAACTGGTAAAAGTTAATTTTTAGTGAATATAAATCATGAAGCCGTGTCACGATATCGTTTGTAGCCTGTTAGAAACGCCGTTTTCACGTCGAAATGAAATAGAGCGACGCCAAATTGTAGATGCGGGTCGGCCAATTTCAAATATATTGATATCATCTGACGATAAGAAAGGTTCCAAAAAATTTTGTAGAACCTTCCAGTCTTCAACTTTTGATTTAAAAAAATGGCTTTGTGGTAGCCACTATTTGCATCAATTGTACTGTTGGCCATGTATATTATTTTCAAACAACAGGGTAGGTGTTTGGGTATCCAGCGGGTATAGCGATATCAAACATTTATCAGAGGCATCGAAAAAACATGAGGGGTCAAAAGATCACATGAAAAATTTTGCGGCTCTAAAAAATTTTGAAAGAAACTTTACTATTAAGGATGCAATTATTGGAGCGACGTTGATTTCCAAGCGGGTCTATAATGAGAATGTCCGAAAAAATAGAAAATTACTGACGTATTTAATAGATACCACCGTATTTTTAGCAAAGCAAGAACTAGCTTTTAGAGGACATGACGAGAGCGAAGACTCTTTAAATTTAGGGAATTTCAGGGAATTGTTCAATATACTAATAAAAAATGACGTTGAAATATTGGAGCACATCAAAAAAATTGATAATGTTTTCAAAGGAGTTTCAAAAACCGTACAGAATGAATTAATTACTTGCATTTCTGAGTATTTAAAGGAGACCATTAGTGACGAAATAAAGTCGGCAAAATTTTTTGGTGTGCAAGTTGACGATACCACTGATATTGTAGAGAAATCACAATGTGCTATTTCCGTTCGATATGTTTCAAATCAGGGTTGGGTAAGAGAAAGGTTTCTGGGATTTTATGACGTTAGCGAAGATAGAGCCGCTAATGCTATGTATGCATTGCTGTCGTCAGTACTGCAGCCATATGATTTCAAAAATAAATTGGTAGCACAGTGTTACGACGGTGCGAGTGTTATGGCAGGCTCTCTCAACGGACTTCAAGCTAAAGTCAAACAAGAAGCACCCAACGCCCTTTTCACCCATTGTTGTGCTCACAGGCTCAATTTGGTTTTACAAAATGGGTCTAAATGTATAAAAAAATGTCGAATTTATTTTCAGACACTTACTTCAATACCTTCTTTCTTTAATACTTCGGCAAAAAGAACATTTGCGTTGCACTCAGTAACCAGCACAAGAATACCTAGGTCGTGCGAGACCCGTTGGTCATCCCGATCTAAAACTGTTAACGTGGTATATTCGGAGTGGGAAAATTTAAAAATTGTGTTTAAAAACATTTCGGACGATCCAACCTCAGGTGCAGAATCCGCGAACGGGGCCAGGGGATATTCAAGAAATTTAAACTCCCTGGAATTCGCTTTTTTAACAAGTGTATACAATGAATTTTTCAATATAACGGACATACTTTTTAATATTTTACAAAAGAAAACATTGGACATAAATTACTGTCAAAAACAAATTCAGCTAGCTCTAAACCGAATTCGAGCTTTACGTAATGATGGAGAATTTGAAAAACTTTTTAATTTTGCTAACGAAAGAGTGTGTAAAAGTGAATCACCTGGACCCGCTAGAAGAGTAAGACACGAAATTGATAATAATGAAAACATTTCATTCCGGGCTTTATATTTTGAAATATTGGATAACATAATTAACCAAATAGAGATTCGTTTTGCAGACTTGAAAGACCTTAGATTTTTTTCACTTGTTGACTCTTCAAAATTTAAAATTTTTGAAAAAGATTTCCCCGTTGAGCTTCTAAACAATTTATTTACCCAATACCCTAACGTATTTTTAGATAAACAGAAACTAAAAAATGAACTAAGTGTGATTTATGCCGATACAGATTATAGCAATTTACAGCTACACGAAATTTTAAAACATTTTATAGATAATGATTTTTGCGAAATATTTCCTGAATCATACACCTTGTGTGTCTTGGTAGCTTCCATACCAGCAACTTCTGTCTCGGTTGAACACAATTTTTCAGCTTTAAAACGTATTCTTTCGTTTACCAGAAATTCTATGTTACAAAACCGATTAACGTCACTGTCTTTAATTTCAATTGAAAAGGAACTACTGCACACTTTATATCAAAACAATGAACAATTCATAAATTCCATTATTCATAAATTTGCTTTATTAAAAGACAGAAGAATTAATTTGACATACAAGCAGTGAAGAGTTAATATGCCAATTGCCATCAATTCGCTATTTTCTTATTTTTATAGGTAAATCTTTTTAGCGTTAAATTTTTGCTTGCTGGTGTAAATAGTTGTTTAGAGTTCTATTTTTATTTTTCTTACCTATAATCATAGGCATTATTTGAGTTTTGATTTGTATTATTTTATCTTATGTTTTTAAATGAACTTAATTTAATTTACTTTGTTATTTGTTTTTAAATACCCTCTCGCCTCCCACCCCTAGCTATCCATTTTGCCTTATTCTTATCCTATTCCTTCCTGGCAAAAGTAACCCCAGACCCCCACGTGGTTCTTGCTGGAACAATATTTTGTTAAAATTGCATATTAGGTAAGTATTTTTAAATCAAATTTTTAAATATTTCACAAATTACATTGGCGAAAATAGGGCTCCATTTTCTGCAATAGGAAAAATACAAAAAGCCTTATAAGTCCGAGGGTAAATACTTATTTTTAAGAAAAGAAATTATCCAACAAAACTCAAAAAACTCATATTTTAACGATATTTTTTTACCCCTAAAATTTTCTTCTCTTCATCTAAGATCGTGACCTTGAAAGCGCTATTTTGTTTTATTGCCCACCCTTATTTAAACACCACGAGCCGCCACTGCTGCACCTAATAACACCTACCAAGTTCAATTTGATAAGACGATAACTACTAAGCTATGTTTAGATAAATTTTAATAAACCGTATTTGATCGTTCTTAATAAAATAACACAACTCTTGGTAACCATGTTTCTTGGAAAATTCAAATAATTCTCAAAAGAATGTAAAATGTAGATATTATGCACTTATGCAGTGGATGGGTACTTACCTATTTGATTTAGTTTTGATTAATAGAACTATTGATAATTGTTTTTTTTACCTTTCAGATGGCATGTTGGAGATTGGGGTCCATGTTCGGTATCCTGTGGAGGCGGTTCCAGATCGCGACCGGTCCATTGTGTAGAAGAAGCCAACAGTACAAAAATAATAGTAAGTACCTACAACTCAGTTTACAGGCTCTAGATAATTTTCTAATGTGGGCCTCCTATAAATCCGTATCGAGGTACCTATGTATATTAATAACTCACTTATTACTATTTTCGAGAAAAAAGAAATTGTTTTTCTCATAAGAAAAAACTGCAAGGAGAATGAGAAAAGTCTCTTTCTAACACATTTTTCTCATGACTAAAACAAAATTTTGAATGTATTGCCAGTATTGCTCAAAATCGAGAAACGCCCTCTACCAGCAAAACGGTTGAAGATATCAAAATGCGGTTTGCACCAATCAAGATTTCATGAAATATGAGCCTCAGAGTGAGGGGCTAATTTTTCACACTCGTTATCGAAATCATGTTTAATGAATGTAAATAACTATTATGTTATACGTTTATTATTTGAAAATAATAACCCTATTTCCAAGCACGTATTGTACAGGGTGAGTTACTAAGAGCGCGGTGGTCCATATCTCCTATATTAACAGAGATTGAAGAAAAAAGTAAATACAAAACTTGTAGATAAACATGAGTACTCCATTCCTAAATTATTTTCCAGTATACAGGGTGGCCAAATAAGTAGAAGTGACACAAGGTTATGTTTTTTTAAATGACTAGCCCTGTATATTATGACATTTCCGGATTCTACGGAAAATTCTAGACATATTTCATGAACAATGTCATATACTTATCTTCAACTGTTTCGGAAATATTGACAGTTTAGAATTGACTTTTTTGCATCTTTGACAGACTGTAACATCTAAACGGTTAATTTTAGAGGAAAACCGATTTCACATTCCTGTCTTAGATTTTCATAAGCTATCATTTGACATTAACTTTGAATTTAATCCATGATTAAAAATTCCGCTTAAATTTATAATCTCCGTTTAAATTCAAAGTTGGTGTCAAATTATAGCTTATGAAAATCTAAGATAGGAATGTGAAATCGGTTTTCCTCTAAAATTAACCTTTTAGGTTTTACAGTCTGTCAAAAATGCAAAAAAGTCAATTTTAAACTGTCAATATTTCCGAAACAGTTGAAGATAGGTATATGACATTGTACATGAAATATGTCTAGAATTTTCCGCAGAATCCAGAAATGTCATAATATATAGGGGGAGTCATTTAAAAAAACATAACCTTGTGTCACCACTATTTATTGGGCCACCCTGTATACTGGAAAATAATTTATAAATGTAGTACTCATGTTTATCTACAAGTTTTGTATTTACTTTTTTTTTCGATCTCTGTTAGTATAGGAGATATGGACCACCGCGCTCTTAGTAACTCATCCTGTATGTGCGAAATAACGCCGTAAGGCTTCTATAACATAATAATAGCCTTATGGACAAATAATAGCCCTGTTTTTATACGATCTGGATCATTTTAAAAAAATTCTCGTTTAAGCAAAACTAAAACTCAATATTCAAAAAAAAACTGGTATGACATAAAGCGTTCAAAATACCTCGGGCATTATGAGCTAAATGCCCTCGCCATCGACGTCGAGCATTGTTTATCTAAAACTTGATAACCAATTATCCATTGTTGTTGGTATTAAAAAAAAAAACATTTAATTTCTCAAAATGTTTCTAGATCCGACTTTAAATAGGAGAAAAATGTTCACAATCTGTATGGAGTATGGAGCAAAATAATTTAGCGATTTTTCAAAAAGACGCTGGGAACCGCATCAATTTGTTTGTGTTATCCATTTTGCGCAACTTAGGGCTGTATGCACCGTTAGTGCGTTAAATGTAAGCCAGCCTACCTACAATTCATTATGGAGCTAAGCCAACTTAATTCCTAATCAGGCTTAATTAAGTCCATCCGGTGCGTACTAAGGTTAAACTCTCCTAATTTTAAATGGAAATTGTTGTTTGAAATTTTTTTGTAAACATTGACAGACTATCATTTTAACAGAAACTTCAAATTTAGAGGGGGTAATAAGGGTGAAAAAACCTTTGAAAAAAGGTATCACTTGACCCCCTTTCCAACTGAAATTTTAGAGTGCCACTCACCACCGCAAAGTGGTAGCAGAGTTTCGATGTAATAAAAAATAAATAATAAAAATGAGGAAAATGTTTGTAGCCATCTTCCTCAACTGTGATTACCGTTCTCATGAAAAAAAAAATACCTTATCGGCCATCAGGCACTGTTTTAACCAAATAAAGTTGCGTAAGGCAATAATCCATTAAATACCTAAAAAATTTAAATCGAAAGTCTTGTGATTACCGTTTTATTTGAGTTGAATTCCGAACCCCCTCGTGGTAAGTCCTCTTTAATTTTTTAAAAGTAATAATAATTGTTCATGGCCCTATTACTCAGGGTTTTCCGAGGAGCTTTTTTTCCGAGGAGCTGTTTTTCCGAGGAACCGTTTTTCTCAATGAATACGTTTTCAACAAGCCCAAATCTCTGGGCATAGAGCTCTTGAAGTGATTTCCTAGAGGAATAAAGTCCCTCACGTGTCGATACGTGTACCCCCACATTTAACGAAGAAAACTGAACTTCTAGCCTTGATTCCAGGCTAGAATCTGCAACTTCCATTTGCAACTTCCCTCGTCAAGTGACCGAAGATGGATGACTACCGTACTCTACCTTTTTGTTAGAATGTAGGCTTGATAAAGTTTCATTAATAACTTTTATTACCTTTTGTTATAAAACTTACTTTATAAATTACCACAATTCGTTAACTTTTTACATTACATTTAATAGTAGATTATGCCACGAGTTAATAATGATAGCTATTATTGCGAGTAGTATACTCTACTTTATTTACAACAAATTAATTTACTTAAGATTTTTAATAGCAAATTTCATCTCAGCACTACACGTTTGATACTGACAGTTTTGAGGAATAATGACCATTAATCCCGCTACTCGTCATTATTCCCTAGGGCTGACATAAGTCGGAAATAAATATTTAAAATCTCAATTTCACATTCCTGACACCTAAGTGAACTTTAAATAATTATTTCCGATTCTTGATTTACCGTATTTACTATAGATTTTATCTCTACTTAACTTTTAGTACCGCCATCTTTAAAGAATGTACTTATATTTTATCAATGATAGTCAATAATTTTGCAAGTCAAGGTAGGACAACATGTTCTAAATTAAAAATTATTGAGTAAGTACCTATATCGTCGAAATTTGATCAATGTTTAACTTGGTTCCTATAAACTTATATAGGTACTTGAGGATTTCGGTTATATCTCTCTTATACTTTCAACGTTTAACCTTTGATTTCATACAGTTTTAATTTGATTTTAGTAACTTGATTTTTCTGGCAGCAGCTGAGCATATTTATCCATATAATATTATAATTTTCAATCATTCATTTTTTTTATTAATTTTCTGGAAAATTAAATCCTTCATATTTTTATTTCAAATTAATGATATGGCCAGCGACTGATAATGAATTTATATGGCAAGTATATTGAGGTACATTGTAATATTATGTTCTATCTTTTAAAATTATTTAATTCTTGATCTTTAATCTCACTGTGAAAATATGTACTATTTTGATTTTAAAATTGCTTGAGTGTTTTATTGGTTTTACCTATGTCAAGATTTGGTTGAGGTATATGCCTTCTTTATTTCCTTTCCAGAATTATCAATTACCATTTATTACTGATTATTTTTCCAGGTGTGTTTCAGAATTTTCACACTTCAATATTTGCTGTAATTTAATTATTTATTTTTTGAATTCAGTGGCGCCCTTTCCAATCTGTACTGATTTAACTATTGACCCACCCCTAATAATTATTCGCTGAGCATATTATGTTAATTCATTACCAAAAGGGGTAACATGTTTCAGAATGGCTTCTCCATCAACTTGTTTGAGCTTTCTACAATTTACTCGCACTCGATTATGTCCAATTTCACCACAGTTATTAACTAAATGGAAAAACTTCTTCCGAGGACCACTTTCTGGCTTTTTATATTTTTTTTTGCATTGGCCTGCGAAAGCAGTATATACATGCACTATGAACTCCATTGTCTGCCAAACACCGCTCTTGTCTTAAAATCGTTCTTTTTCCAGGATTTTTATTTAGTTCGTCCGCCTGGTCCAGTCCCAATTGAACAAGCCCGTTCCATTGAAAGTGACCACACTTTTTAATGACCTTTTTGTGGAAAGGGGTCTACATAAAGCATCCTATTGGTCGTATTTAAAATCAATTCCTTCAAGTGTCCGTTATTCAAAAGTGTAACAAAGGGAAATATACAATATATAAATTCAACTACTAGATACTTATCAAAGAAGATATTATACATTTATAGTTACCTCATTAAAAAAGTATTTCCTTTAGGTACCCAGAGTTTCTTTTTACAAAAATAGCCCAATGTTGCATTAAAAAGAGGAAAAACAACTAATTAGTATTCTTTTTTTCACTTCTCCCTAAAGTAACCAAAAGTCACGTTTGCCAATAAATAAAAGAAACACAGTTTCCACCATAACAAAACACAACCTAACGAAAAATAAATAAGGCGATAAATTTAAATGTATATTTGTTTTTTTTTACTTGCCGGCTGTAATAATTAGGCAAATTTTTTAGACTTGAATAATTCATGGAAATGTAAATTTCAAAATATTCCGACATCGTGTCTGGAGTTAAGAGGCGCAAAGTTTATAATTTGCTTAGGGGGTTAACACGGTTAACCTACTTAAACAATTCTCTTTAAAATTCTATAGTAAATGCAATATTGCGGCCGAATAGGAAATGAGTCTTTCGAGATTGAATTAAATTTTTAGTATGTTTCAATATAATTTTAAGACAAAAATGTAAATTGAATTAGAAGTCAAGAAATCCAATTTCTATAGGCTAAAATGGTTATCGATTCCAAGAGAAGGAAGAGAGTCAATATTGAAATGGCGCCCAATTCCGGAGCCTCGATTCTAATTTGTTAAGTAGAGCCTCTTAAAAGTTTCTGGTCAATTTACGGTGCGGTAGAATTCCTCTTTGCCAAAAGGGAAGAGAAGAGAACTTCGGTTAAAATTAGGCAATTTCCAAGAAAAATACCGAAAAGTTCAGCTTGAGCCATTTTCGCCAGCATAAAGCTCTGGATCGAGTCTTATTGCCCAGTAATTTAGTATGGTTCAAGTTTTCACTTGTGGGAATACTATAGCTTTTTTTTTGAAAATTACTTTTTTAAGAGAAAAAGTTTTTCAGCAGAATAATATTCCAGAATATCCTACTATTTTCTAAATTATCTTTGTATGCCCATGTTTAATACAAGTCTCGATATTTTACCATATTATCCCTATCTGCACTAGTAACATAAAATCTTGTTTTATAGGTTGACGAATCGAAATGCGGCGGACATAAACCCTGGTTTCAAGAAGCATGCAATCAAATGGATTGTCCTAGGTGGTTTACGACCAAATGGTCGGGGGTGAGATATCTTAATTTATTCCTTCACGAATTTTCTTATTCCTCAAAAGGAAAATCATTTTTCGTTTTGTCTTAAAATTATTTTTTTTTTATCCCCTCTTTGGGAGCACGAAGTTTGGTAATTAAAATAATTAGTTTATTTGCCTCAAAAGTTTTTTTAATAATTAGTCGTAAGCTTTATTAACGTAAATAATTGAAAAGTTGTTAAGCAAATATCTTGAAAGAAAGTGTTTTATTCTAGTGTTCGGTATCTTGTGGAGAAGGCATACAAACCAGAGTGGTGGAATGCAGGGATACAAGTGATCAACTCAATGACTTTTGTGATGCCAAAAGTAAGCCTGAAACCACGCAAGTGTGTTCAACTGGAATTACTTGTCCTTTCAGGGTAGACACTAGTGAGGAATTAATGCCAGGTAAAAAAATATAGTTGAATCCTCTTGAGTTTTTGCCTATTATTGGTCCTTGTAGGTTTATACCAAACTCAACCATTAGAGCCACATTATCCACCTCCACCGTTACCAGAAAGATTGGTTGGAGAGCAACTAGTGCCTTCGGAAAGCACGTAAGTATTTTTTTCAAAAAAAATATAATCAAGCAATCACGTTTTGTAAAATCACGAAAGCTTTTCCAAAACTTCAAAGCCTTTCGTGAAAGCCTCTGGAATGAGCCGAAGTATTTCGTTTCAATAAGATTGTGTATGCCTTTCCAATTGTGTCTATCTGCTATTCGTGATTTTGTAAAAAAAAAACAATTTAGATCTTGTGTTGCACTATTTCCTCATTTTCATGGCTCTCTGTACGACACAGCTTTGTGTTTACTTTAATTTTTTGGTGTTTAGATGTTCTTCCAAAGACAAAATTACCATATTCTATCAAAACTAAAAAATACAGATTGGTTTTAAAGAGGTAGGTTCTTAATAAGGATGAGTTATTTGAATCTGGAATCTACCTCAGGAAGAGATTTACTGAATTTTTAGCTTGTTGATTTTCAGGCTTTCTAAATAATTCAATTTATATCCTCTGTTCTACATGAGGTAAGATATTATAGTATTATAGTTTTCCTAAAAAAATTATCCTCCTCTATAAGATGAAATGCATACAATAGAATCCGTTGTATTATTTACAGTGTCCCCCATATTGTTCGCTACATATGGGAAACATTTTTATCTGTAGGATATGAAATTTTTACTTATGTGCGATCGATCCTGCATGTCCGATAACCTAAAAGTACATTTTGACATTAGTCATGTGATCACTGTTGTGGCGGCAAATTCGAAAATTTAGAAATGGAAACGCGAAAAGTGGGGTTAGATAGCAAAATTTCGGAAAAAATTATTTGAAAAAAAATTATTAGAACGATGTTTTAGGACTGTCTGCGAAATTTGGAGGAAAAGCAACAAAAACAGGAAATTATTGAGTGTTGTGTGGGGTGAAATCTACCTTTTTTTAAAGTTTTTCTTAATAACTCCAAAACTAAGCATTTTAGGAAAAAAATGTTAAGAGAGAAAAATTGTAGAGAAGAACCATCTACCAAATAGATGTACACCAGTTTTTTTCAGATGTTCAGTGGCGTACATATTAGGTATTTAATTAAAGGGATTTTTCTAAAAACCTCACTTTTTCATTTTTAACCCTAAAATGGGCATGTAGGTACAGTCGTGAGCATTAAAAGTGAGACACCCACCATCTAACTGGCAGGTCTTGTAATTTTTCGCTATTTTGGGTAAATCATTATTCTCTGTACAACGGATTTTTTGTCAAATATGACAATCCCTGTCATTGCCGACGTGTAGCTGGTGAGCCCGTTTTACAATAGGAAAAATCGGGTGTCCCCTTTTTTATGCTCACGACTGTACCTATAAAGACTGAATCATTCCGTTTAGAAGTAATTTTTGCCAATTCACATGATGCGAGATTCCAGAAGCGGATTTTTAGTTATATTTAGGGTATTATCAGATTATACTTTATTGATTCTTATTAATGTCATATTAAACCTCTCAAAGGTGACAGTGAAAAGTGACAGAGGATGAAAACTCGCGCAAAAGTTAAAAATAATTTTCAGGTCGTTTATCGATAGCGAGTCACCTCCGGGTTGCAGTTACAATGTTTACCCTGGAGTTATGCTTATAACCCGGGGGTGACTTGCTATTGAGAAACTGGCCCTTACTTCAGGGGCGTCGCGTCGGGGGGGGTGGGGGTAATGGGGGTAATTACCCCCCCCCCCCCAGGATCGAATCAAGGGAAAAATCAGGATGCCCAAAAAAAAATACATAATATATGAGCACACAGCTCTTGGTTTTACTTTTTAAGTTTTTATTTTACTCGAAGGACCACCCTTTATAGGGAAATGAAAATAATCATAAAAATAGATAATAACAGCAAGATAAATTAAAATGCTCCTTACAGGTTAAGCAGAGTGCTGCTTTTCTGGCAGTAGCAATAACAGGCAAGAATAAAAACATAATCAGATAAAAAAATTATGAAATTAAATCTCTAGATTCTCCCCCAAATAGACAAAATTTTCCTTTTAAGTTAAGATAGCCACCACAGGCACTACAAGATAAACCTGAGGGTGAAATCAATCAAATCCAGAATATGTCAAAATTCTTGAGATGTTTTAATGAATTTTTTTTGACCTGTTTGGATTTCTCTTTTAGAAAATTACAACCTCTCTCAACACTCTTCTTTTCGAGAAGATAATAATTGAGATAATAATTGATGGAGTCAAACAGAAAATGGTTATATAGGCCTCTGCCTGGATTCAATAAAGAGTTGATAGGGATGGACATACAAATTTGGTTTTCACCGACTCTATTTAGACCAAATGGTCCAATATTCTGACACTAACAATTGATTCTGAAAACCAGAGCAGCAGTACCTATTTATTAGACCAAAAATCTGAATTGACTTACCTCAGAAAAACGTGGTACCACCAATCACACAAAATGGAGGCCCACAATTAGATTAAAAAAATTAAAATATAATATTTATATTTCAAAAATAGATAAGATAAGATTTATCAGGTAGAAACTCAACAATGATATGGTAGTATGCACTGATGACAAAATAAATTGCACAATTATAAGGGAGAATCTAAAAATGTGAAGGAAAAATTATTGAAAATAAAAATGACTCACATGCTAGAGCACTGCCAGAGAAAGAGAACGTTTTAGAAACCAAACCCTATAGGAAACCAATCTTGTGTTTTTTATACTTAACTGCGTATTAACCAGATCAACCAATCAGAAAACTACACTCAAAAGACCATAATATTCACTTCACAATGAAAAACCACGTGGAATAGAAGAGAATACGTAAAAATCCACTGGAATTATTTTAATTGTTTCCAAATTATAATAATTTAAATTAAGGTTTTGTTCAAAACAAAAAACCGCGAATTAATTAGGTCATTAGGCCAAAAATAATTATTTCAGAATCAGAAGTTAGAGAGAGACAGCAATATATCTATTTGCTAAGAGTGAGATAAATACAAGTTCTTCAAATAAAAATACCAATTGCTGTCAATGAGAAATAATAAAAATAGCTAAGGAAAACTATCACAATTTAAAAAAAAAATCATCCGGTACTAGATGGCAGTACTGGTAAATTAACGATAGATAGGTATTTGCATTTTATGCTTATGATGGATAGATGGCAGAACTAATATTATATTGAACCAATTAAATTTTCTTTTGATACTTTCAAATTAGGTAGGTACTTAAATTAGGAATTATTATTTTGCTGATTCTGAAATGGCAAAAATACAACTTCATAATGAAAATTAGAAGATGGAACATGTTACGTAAATGATAAAATTATCGTAACAAGCTATCTACCTAACGAAAACAAAGATTATATGTGGAGTAAAACCTATTTAAAAGACATGTTAATTGCCTGCTGTTAGGATAGAATTAATACTGCACAAGTACGGAGAAACTTGATACTGACATTTAATGAATACGCCCAGAAAATATTTAGTGATCAGTGGTATAATTCTAAAAACAAAGATGAGGAATTAGAAAGAGTAAGAATTATAACTGATGCAGCAAAAATATTACGAGAGTGTAACGAGAGAATATAAGAAGACCAGTTTATGAAATGAATACATATCCATCAAATTCGGAATTTCAAAACGGAGGCCAAGATGGTACCTGACAATTTACAATTTGAAAATATTTTTTCCTACGAGCGTGCGCAAAGTAGTACTTTTCCGCACGCATTTCGGTTCTCAAAGTTACACTTTTCCGCACTCAGTGCGGATACAGGCCTTATCCGCACTGAGTGCCGAAAAGTAAAAATAATTGTCAAGCAACAATAAGGGCACCTGTCGACGTTGACAAATGATGACAAATTTTTCCTCTGTTTCTATATCAGCCAACATCTATACAAACACCAAATTTAATTAACTTTGACACATTGTCAGATTTGTTCTCTATTGATATGCAAGAATCTACAAACTTTCTCATCAAATTTAAACGTTTTAAAAAAAGGGCTCTGACGATGATTTTCTGTTATTTTTTTTTTTTTTGTTATGTAATTTTTTGATAACTGCATAGGTTCGCTTCAAGTTAATTAAAAATAGTTGAACAAATAATTTTTTTTTCTAAATTTTTGTTGTTACCTACCTGATATGAAGCTCGTAGGAAAAATTTAGTTCCTAACACGTGCGCAAAGTGTCTTTTCCGCACGCAAACACTTATCCAAACTCCGCTTCGCGTCGTTCGTATAACTGTGTTTGCGTGCGGAAAAGTAACACTTTGCGCACTTGTTAGGAAAATAACTATTTCCTACGAGCGTGCGCAAAGTAGTACTTTTCCGCACGCATTTCCGGGTTCAAAGTTACACTTTTCCGCACTCAGTGCGGATACAGGCCTTATCCGCACTGAGTGCCGAAAAGTAATTATAATTGTCAAGCAACAATAAGTGCACCTGTCGACTTTGACACATGATGACAAATTTTTCCTCGATTTCTATATCAGCCATTGATATCAGCCAACATCTATACAAACACCAATTATAAATTAACTTTGACACATTGTCAGATTTGTTCTCTATTTATATGCAAAAATCTACAAACTTTCTCATCAAATTTAAACGCTTTAAGATGAACAGCTCTGACAAGGATTTTCTGTTATTTTTTTTTGTTATGTAATTTTTTGATAAATGCATAGGTTCCCTTCAAGTTAATTAAAAATAATTAAACAAATTATCGTTTTTTTTTTTAATTTTTGTTATTACCTACCTGATATGAAGCTCGTAGGAAAAATTTAGTTCCTAACACGTGCGCAAAGTGTCTTTTCCGCACGCAAACACAGTTATACGAACGACGCGAAGCGGAGTTCGTATAACTGTGTTTGCGTGCGGAAAAGTAACACTTTGCGCACTTGTTAGGAAAATAACTATTTCCTACGAGCGTGCGCAAAGTAGTACTTTTCCGCACGCATTTCGGTTCTCAAAGTTGCACTTTTCCGCACTCAGTGCGGATACAGGCCTTATCCGCACTGAGTGCCGAAAAGTAAAAATAATTGTCAAGCAACAATAAGTACACCTGTCGACTTTGACA